GTGTTCAATAATCTTATTATTTTCTTATACAAGATGTCCATTGAAGGGGGCAAAAATATGTGTTTCTGATAGATGTGATTATCCAAAGAAGCTATAGCACAACACTAAATATTCACTGAATTACTGTGTGAGGATTGTAATTTCTGTAAAATATTAGTATTAGAAAGGGATGGAGATCTCTGTTCTATATAATTTTACCTTGCTAGGCATAGTGTTATAATCTTCTTAATGCATTCTTAAAAAGCATTTACAAATTTTGTACAATACTAATGATGTACATATAATATAAAAAATAAGAACTAGTTCAAACGTAAGCACTCTAGACTTCTTTAAAATGGAGAATTTGCTCACCAAAATATACTTCTATAAACATACTCCTTTTTATGAAAATTATAAGCACAAAATTTAATGTTTCATATTCTTGAGACAGGAATATTCATCCAGATAATTTTTAAAATAAAGATTTTATACAAAAACATTAACAAAAGGGGACACAATTTTGGTATATATTTAATATTTATATTTTTTGAATGATGGTTTTCTGACTTGAATATACCTTTTCTGACTTGAAAATACAGTGTCTCTATTTATTGAAAATAAAGTTATTGATTTTAATGTGGTAGCAAAGATACCTGAACCTGTTCAAGCACTACAGGCTCAGATTAATCTAAGAAGTTTATAAAATGCTAAAGTTTTTATATTAAAGTATATTTTAAATGACAAGTAATGCTCTATATAAGGTGATATAATACATGTGTGATACAAGCACATATTTATTATTCTTTAATAAGATAATCTAAGAATAATTAAAATAAAGATAAGAATTAGTAAGATACTTTTTAAAAAGAATACTTGCAAAATACACTTTCATTCACATGGGAAATTATACTGATGATCTGGCCTAAATGAGAAATTGTATCATATATTTTCTTTTCCATAAGTGAGAATAATGTGCATCTTACCTAGCTGCCACTGTGGTAAGAGAAGACATCTGAGATACAGCTGTTCAGGATTATGACCAACTACAACTTATTGCATTAGGACAAAACTTTCTGGGCAAAGCTAAGTGGCCCTCTGTGGATCTTTAAATCAGAACATTGACTTTGTTAACTTTGCACATGAATCAACAAAATTGACTGGTTCAGTTCTGCCAAATGAGAGTAATTGTCACATTAAAAATTTAGAACAAAATCGTGTATACCTAGCACAGCTAACATTTGTCTGATTTTGATATTCCCACTTCATCATTTCAGAAACATGAACATTTAGCCCACCAAATCAAAGTGGTAGGTGATCTCACCACTATCAACTGTATATAACAGAGCTATATTAGAATCTTGGTCTTTGTACTCTTGCAATTATTACATTTTTTGTAATTAAATTTTCCATAAATTAATGTATTAAAATTCTTCATTTATATTTTCAGTGAGTAAAACAGAGCTATTAAATAACACCATGAAAGGCTTTCAGAATTAAGCAAGAATTTGCTCAGGAGTGATGTCTGTTTTTTGCCATGTATTCTGTCTTGCTTTGACTAGGAAAAAATCTCATTCACTTTGTGCCAGGTCAGAGCTTTGTCTTTTGGAGTGTGAATTGTCACAAAAAAATAATGGTTCTGTAATTCCATGTAGATATGTATTAGTTCCCAGACACATAAAATGAGTTGACACAAGGGACCTATGAGAGACTTTATGCTTTGAGGGTGAAATTTTGCAAATAATTGGTCTGATAACAATATGGTTTAAAATGATTTTATCTTCAGTTGATTCTTTCAACAATTTGTATATTATGGGACAGATGTCAAGCAGTTTTACAGATATACTGAAAACTCAAAAGCCTTTCCAGTCAGCTTGTCTATAGAGACCTTTATTTTCCCCTACATTTATGAGTTTTCAAAAATCATTTAAGTCAACATTTATTGACACTCAACCTGGTTCTGCTCTAACTAGAGTGTCTCAACTAGCCACAGGGTGTCCATTTTGTCTATGGTTGTGGTATGATTGAACAACTAAAATCTCTTGGTATGTATTGTGCTCATCTTTTTTCTCCCAATAGTTGTTGGCACATTGTTGAGTGTCAATAAATATTGACCTAGTTAATTATTCTTCAGTCAAAATTCTTACATATTTTGACTTTAGGAAGGATGGCATGACCAACAGAGAGAAGCAGGCTTTAATAAGCCAGACTGACTAACATGGACAAATAAAAATTGGGTGTTATGAAGATGACATATAGAAAGTGGTGATAGTTTCCAAAGAGATTCCTCTTTTAAGGGCCAAATGTGTTTTAGAAGTCATGGGGTTATAATCTATAAATAATTATAAACTCAATATTTCTGAATTAATTAAAAATAAAATGATGAAAGAAATGTATGTTCTCTAAATGCTAATCCAGTATAAAATACAATCCCTAACTCACATAAAAATTTTATGATTAGATAAAAATTTATAATTCTCTTTATAAACATAGTTGTTGGAAATTGTATTACTTAATCCAGTGATTGGAGAGCTTGGGTCAAACATAAGCTAGCTTTAAGCATTATAAAGGTAGTAATTTGGAAGATATTTTACTTCTAACTACAAAAGAAAGAAAAATGGGTGAAAGGTAAAAGGAGAATATTGGGAGAGTGTTCTAATTACAGAATTTCTTTACTTTGAAGAAACTTTCAAACAGACATGATAAATTCCCAGTCGCTGGTGATATTAGCTGGACAACAGCAGTTGCAGATTCCACGGATAGGACTTAAGCATCTGGTGATGTTTGAAATACATGACATTTAAAGAAAATATATTAAATCCTGACATTTTGAGGTGTTTCTCACAATTTTCTCACCCATTTTGTGATCTAAAGAAATAGCATAAAGATCACAGATTGTTTATTGAAGCATAATAATTCTGATAATCTTTGAAATAATCTTTCAAAGAGTTCTGATAGAAATAACTCCATGAATGTTAGTATCTTTTTTTTAAAGCACATCTAGTTCAATATTTAATAGTCTACATATTATGGAGATATCTGGGTTGTCATGACAACTGAATGGAAAATTTAGTAAATGTAATTTTTTCCACATAATGCAGTATTCTCTTCCTTCCTGTTTGTTTAAAACATAATTTCATGAAAAAATCCATAGTCTGCAATTAAATAGCCCAAAGTGTGTCTGAAAATATATACTCCAAAGTTAAATAAAACTTTAAAGGAAATGCAGCTTGTTCTGTCAAATTCTGGTACTATAGTCCTCACTCTAACTCTTTCTCCTCCAAGTCAAGTTAGTGCCCTGGACATTGAAGCTAGTATGCATAACCCCAGGCTTCAATTAAGCTCAGGAGGAATTCTTTCTTGACTTAGATTTTGCTGAGCATAAAAATTAGATTAATCCTATAGAAAGGATTCAGAAGAAAATTTGAAATACTGAAGTAAATTATATTATCCAATTTAAAATATACAGAGGGAGGACTGAGGCACCAGAAACGGAATGAAAGTTTGGAGTATTAGACCACAGCAAAAAGAATCAGCGAGAGTATATGATTATGAAAGTATTCATTGAAATAAATAATTTAGAATTCAATCTAATTATATTCTACTTGTTTACTAGGGAGAAAAATTTTACCAAATAGAATCCTATCATATCTATATATTTTCATCACATAATATAAACTTAGTTGACTATGTCAATGGAGCCAACAAATTTTTATATATTTTTCTTATACTAGTAAATATTTACAATAATGAAAACAAGTAGAAACCTAGAAAAGGCCAGATATTATTTATACTATGTAGACACTTTTTTTTTCTTTTCCTCTAATTGAATGACATATAAAAATTCAGTGAACCAAGAAATGCAGATGTGTTCACATATATCTCCATCTTTCCCGAGTGGAAGAGCTAGAATTTACCTGATTTTTGAACAAAAATTTATGCTTACTTATTTATAAAAAGCTGAGAAGTGTAAGACTCTTCATAATCTATGCCAACCCTTTTAGTTATTCTACCCGGATTATCTTAATTCTACCTATTCTGGAGTAGATAAAAATAAATATAATAAAGCGGTTTTGTATCTGACAGGAAGAAAATATATAGGTTTCTATGAAATCGTTATAAACAATTGAATTTCTTTGCTAGATTATTAAATAGTATACAGTATTAGGCAAATTATGATTTTCTCTGTACTGTTTATAGCAAATATGCTGAATTGTATTAGAAGGAAAAATGTGAAGAAGATATAATTTCTTTTTTATGGAGCTTTTCCTTTTATTTTTCAAGAAATCGCATGATTTAGTCATTAAATCTTAAATTCTTAAGCTGAATTGACTGCTTTTAAATGCTTGTTCAACCGTAACCTAGACATATTATCTTTGTCAAATTATGTACTTTTTATGTCAGTTTTCTCTTTTGTCAGAATATAAATATCAATCTCGAGATGTTGTTTTGAAAATTAAATGTGTTGATATATTTAACATCCTTGGAAAAATGTCTCAAGGCAGTAGCATGAAGATTAGACACGATATTTATCTTTATTATGTACTTTGCATCAGCATTATATGTTCTGAACCCAAGAATTAGAAATGCTTTTATCTATAAATCCTGGCCATGACTTACAACTGAAGGATATTTATCTTTTTAACAAAAATTCTAAAGCAAAGGGCAGATGTCAGCAATAATTTTCCCTCAACAGAAATATCAATTCAAACAATTAGGCATGTACAAAATACCTTTAGAAGAGTTAATGAAAGCAGGTGAGGGATCACAGCACCTGGGTATACCATAGGCAGAAACACACAGACACATGTACACAATCAAGAGGGTAGAAAGGATAGTTTTACATTACCCACATCACCACTCCCCCAACCCTGGGCAGCACAGACTGAAAAGATACACACTCTGCTTGGGGGTAGGAAAAGAAAATGAGCATCAGACTCTTCTTTGAACACCTACACTGAGCCTTCTGATATGTACTTCAGTGCTGTGTAGACCTCTAACAGCCCCAAACTCTAAGGTGATACCTGTGGACTCCAGGCCAATTCTAGCATCAGTCTAGATTCCGCAATTCCAGGCTCCAGGCCTATGAGGTGCATTTAGTCTCCAGAATGCTCTATTGCTAGGCCAACTTCAGTGAATGATCCCAGTGTCCAGACTGTCTCCAACACATGGATAGCCCCCATGGCAAGAGATTTTGAGCTTATTCCAGCAACATGTCAACCTTTGCTGTCCTAGTTATCAGGCTGTCAGCCATGGAGACAGCCTCCAGGTTTGTCCTTACAAATACAGGGCACAGGCTCATCCAGGATGAAGCCAGCCCATACAATCCCTGGACCATGCTATAAACAGTTCAATACCCCTGGCATCAAACATAAGATCAGAATCTGTGAACACAAGCTCTGGGCTGGTCCCTATGACCATTTTGACTCTATACTCCAGCAGACCCAAGGTCCAAGCCTGTGTCAATAAGCTCATTCCTGGACTTTCCCCCATGAACTCAGGCTTCATGACAGCTCTTGTGTACCCAGGTCTTAGGCTGATCCCGGAACCCCCAGGACCCATGCAAGCCCTACTGGCATCAGGCACCAGCAAGCAGCTATGATCCTAGGCTTTAAGGCAGCCCCTGTGGTCTTTCACTTCTACGTCATTTTCAGCATCACACTCACACTAGGCTGTGGAAGACCCAGAGTTCAGGCTTGCTTCACTAGGCCCAGAGTTAAAGCTCACTCCAGTAAACCCCAGTGCCAGGTTGGATCCTGCGGATTAAAGCTCCAAAACATCCTTTCAGACCCAGGCCAGCCTTTATGGAGTTAAAATTCAGGCCTGTCATAGTGTGTTCAGGTACCAGGCCTGCCCCAGTGCCAGACCAGCCCACGTGGATTCTAGCTCCAGACCAATTTCATTGAACTTGAACTATGGAACCGTCTTGGTGCTTGGATAACTCCTTCAGACAGGCTCAAGGTCTAGCCTAGTGCTAGGTCAGTAGACTCAGGCTGGACCCCATTGATAGATAATTCAGGTCAACTCTTGTGGATCCGCAGGGCTATTCCTACAGACTCAATGAACTGAACTACCACAGTGAATATAGGATTCATGTCTCACCTCACACACCCAAGTACCTGATCTGCTTACCTACAGACCCAGACAGGCATGTGGCCAGTCTGTCTGAGGACTCAAGTAACAAGCTCACTCTTGAACTATGCCAGATATTCTGCCTAGAATGTCTAGATGTGCTAATTAGTGAAGGGTTTTCCCAGACAAAGACATGCTACAAAATGAAATGAGTCCCTAGTTCTTCACTTATGTAAAGCAACAAGAAACATAAAATGTCAAGTAGACATAATATTGCCAAAAATCCCTACAATAATCTCCAAATGGCTTACCCCAAAGAAATGAAGGCATACAAACTGCCTGCCTAACAAAGAATTCAAAGTAAAAATATAAAGACAGCTCAATACTTCAAGAAAATATAGGAAATAAATTTAATTAGTTTAGGAAAACAAACAAAAAAAGGCTACAACAAAAAAGTTATCAGAGAAATTAAAATTATATACTAAAAAAATCAAACAAAAACTCTGTAGCTGAAAAATACAATGAATAAATTAAAAATGCAATGGAGAGCAACAACAGCAGGATTGCTCAATCAGAAGAATATCTGTGAACTCAGAGAAAGGTTATTTGAAAATATATAGTGAGAGTAAAAAATAATCAAAAGGAATAACCAGAGCTTATAGGCTCTATGAGACAGCATCAAAGGCACAAATGCTGAATTGAGGCAAATGTTTAAAAAGAGAGAAATGAAAAGAAATTAAAAGCTTATCTAAATAAAGAATAGCAGAAAAGCTTACACATTTGGAGAAAGGTGTAGGGAGACCAAAGGTCTTCAATCAGATTCAATCCAGCAATATTACACCAAGATGTATTATTAGCAAATTGTCAAATCAACAGTAAAGACAGAATTCTAAAAACAGCAAGAGATGCAAATAACATATAAGTGAGTTTAACAAGGCTAGAAGTGGAATTCTCAGCAGAGAGCTTACAGGCCAAGAGAGAGTGAGATGATATTTTCAAGTACTGTAGGGAAGATAAAACATAACAATAAAAAAACCCTGTCAGGCCGGGCGCGGTGGCTCAAGCCTGTAATCCCAGCACTTTGGGAGGCCGAGACAGGTGGATCACGAGGTTGAGAGATCGAGACCATTCTGGTCAACATGGTGAAACCCCGTCTCTACTAAAAATAGAAAAAATTAGCTGGGCATGGTGGCACGTGCCTGTAATCCCAGCTACTCGGGAGGCTGAGGCAGGAGAATTTCCTGAACCCAGGAGGCGGAGGTTGCGGTGAGCCAAGATCGTGCCATTGCACTCCAGCCTGGGTAACAAGAGCGAAACTCCATCTCAAAAAAATAAAAATAAAAAACCCTGTCAACCAAAAATACTATATTTAGCAAAGCTGTCTTTCAGAAATGAAGGGGAGAAAAAGACTTTTCCAAACAAAAGCTGATGGAGTTCACTATCATCAGACCTGACTTACAAGAGATGTTAAGGGACATTGAATAAACATAGTATAATGGTGGTGCGTAAAACACTTATGTCTTTAATATGAAGGTTACAGATAAATTTACTGAAAATTATAACTATAGTTTAAGGAATATGTAGTATAAAAAGATGTAAATTGTGATATCAAAAACTTCAAAGGTGAGGTAGGGTGTAAAGTGTAGCTATTTTGTGATCAAAGTTAAGTTGCTATCAAATTAAAATAGCCTGTTACAGACAGAAGAAGACTTTTGCAAGTGTCATGGTAACCACAAAGCAAAAATTTGTAGTGTATAGACCAAAAATAAAAAGTAAGGAATCAAAGAATACTTGAGAAAAAAATATGTATTTGCAAAGGCAGACAACAAGAGGGAAAGAAAAAAATGGATATACAAAAAAAGAGAAAAACACAATTAACAAAATGGTGGCAGTAAGTCTTTACCTACAATAATTAATCTTCAAGTAAATGAATTAAGTCATCCAGTGAAAAAACAGAGGGGCTGAATGAATAATAAACAAGGTACAGCTGCATGCTGTCTACACAAGAATCACTTCACCTATAGGGAAAGAGACTTAAAGTAAATGGATAGAACAAAATATCTTATGCAAATTAAAAACAAAAGTGACCAAGAATAGAAGTTGAGAACCTTAAAATAAGATAAATAAGATCGTTATGTAATGATAAGGAGGTCAATTCATCAAATGAATATAACAACTGTAAATATATACAGAGGGTACTCAGCTTACAACCGTTGGACTTAACAATATTTTTACTTTACAATGGTGCACAACTGAAACGCATTCATTAGAAACTGTGCTTTGAGTACCTATACAGCTACTCGATTTTTTACTTTTTGTATAGTATTCAATAAATTACATGAAATATACAATGCTTTATTATAAAATAGGCTTATGTTAGATGATTTTACCCAACTGTGAGTTAATGTAAATATTCTGAGCACATTTAAGGTAGGATAGCCTAAGCCGTGATGTTGGTAGTTTAGGTATATTAAGTGTATTTTGTTATGATACTTTCAATTTATGATGGGCTTACTGGGATGTAACTCTGTCTAAATTGAGCAGCATCTGTATGTAGCCAACATTTAAATACTTAAATATGCAATTCAAATATTAGTAAATCTCAAGGGAGAAGTAGTCTGTAATAAAATATTAGTGGAAGCTTTTAGTACCCTACTTTTAGCAATGGATGGATCATCCAGATAGAAAATCATTAAGACAAACCAAGACATAAAAAATATTTTAGACCAAATGGAACTAACAGGGATAAACAAAGCATGTTATCCAAAATCAGCAGAATATACATTCTTCATGAGCACATATGGAATATTTCTGAGAAGAGGTTATATGTTAGGTCAAAAAACATGTCTTAATAAATTTGTAAATATGTAAATCTCTTAAACTGAGTTAGAGATTGTCACTCACTTGATCTTTTTCTCCCAATTATATGTTGTGTTGTATCTCTTTAGTTATCCCAGTTAAGTTCATTGTTCACTCTAAAAATTATCCCAATCATCAATTTTCTCATTGCATAAACATATTGTGGGAGGCACTCAAGGATCAAGTAGCTGGCAGAAAGGTAGAAGAGTCCATGTCAGTAGTTTTTTTTTTTTTGAGATGGAGTTTCACTGTTGTTACCCAGACTGGAGTGCAATGGCACGATCTCAGCTCACCGCAACCTCCGCTTCCTGGGTTCAAGCAATTCTCCTGCCTCAGCCTCCCGAGTAGCTGGGACTACAGGCACACACCACCATGCCCAGCTAATTTTTGTATTTTTAGTAGAGACGGGGTTTCACCTTGTTGACCAGGATGGTTTCGAGCTCTTGACCTCGTGATCCACCTGCCTCGGCCTCCCAAAGTGCTGGGATTATAGGCATGGACCACCGCGCCTGGCCATGTCAGTAGTTCTTAACTTGTTTTCTACAAACTACTGGGGCTGCTGTCAATGGTAGATTTTAAAATTTGTTTTTGCTCTAGATAAACACTTCTGCATTTTGGCATTTTTTCGGGTGATATGTCTAGATTAGTGTTTTTGAAATGCAGTATAATGCATAATCTATGTGACTACAAGAAAACACTTTTTGATGATTTTATATTGGTACAAAAAAGGTTTCATGTTTATTAGAACCTATAAGGGTGGTGAAATGTAGATACTTAAAAACCCCTCATGTATGGAGAGCAAACTTGTGTAAGAGGAGACATGGAAAGACCACAAAGTAAGAAATCTAACTGTAAATCTTTCTTGGATAAATAAACCATAGTTTTGCACAAATAGTAGTTTATTTTTAACAGGAGATATTTGTGAATTCACAAATTCACAGTTTTTAATGATTTTAATACATATATCTAACAAATCTCAATACATCCAGAGGCAAACATTAATAAGAAAACAGATTATATAAACTATAAATGTAATGAAGTTAATTTAGTTGAAATATGTAAAACATTTAGGCCACAGAATTAGAGATTACATTCTTTATAAGTATATGTGAGAGTTTTCAAAATTTATTAAATATTTTTCTATGAATGAACTTCTAAAAACATT